AAATAGGCATTTACATTCAGATGACCCTGATATTTGGTTTGGTTTAACTTCTCCATCGCGATGTTTTTAATGCATCAACAAAGAAACTGACAGCAAATTAATTAAACCTGTCCGAAAATGTTTAAAACCTGAAACAGGGATTATATGAAGGGTGATATGTTCTAAAACTGTACTTAAATTATTTTACAGACATTTATAAATACCAGAACACGACTGAAGTTTTTATATCTATAGAGGCCTCGCTGAAGAAAGGGATCTTGACTGACGTTTTGAGTCCAAAGTTTCTTCCACCTGCTTGAACAAATGGTGGAAAAGCTCTCTGTCCTTGAACCTTAACAGAAAAGAATATGCTTAAATAGGGTTAACGTTAGGTGACACGTACCACGAACAAACATACTTGGTCTTCACGCTTCGGCCACGGATAAACATACAATTTAATATAACAAACAGGATATAATACTGAAATTTAAGCTGTGCTATATAATATATAGAAGCCTATACTTATAAATGGTTTCGCACAAAGTCGAATGCCACGCAGACCTCAAAACCTAACCGACACAACGAAAATAATGATATCGATATTTCAAAAGATTGGTGCCGATAGAAATAATCATTCTGAATTATATAATATCTTTAGCTTTAATACAATCAAGGGGCGGTGGGACGTCATAGGTATTCGAGTACTCTCCTTGCAAATTGCAGGAATACTGAATACAACTTACAATAATAAACATTTTCTCAAGATCCCTGTGGGCAAAATATTTAATTTTCATAATAGAATGGATTGGAAGTAATCAAGTTGATTTGTAAAAGTATGCGTAACTGAACTTCACACTTCCAAAAGACTTTTCATATAAAATAAAATCTAAGACCTATATGTTTTAAAATGTAGTTATAACTTATAATATTCATATTGATATATTATAAAATTATTATTAAGTTAAACATTCCACACCTGTTACTATCGTATACCAATTTGGGTAAGAGTTGCTTGGAAAGATCGGAGTTACATACTTTGCTCGAACACCATTTTCAGCCATCCTGCGGAATCCCGTCAAACCTTTTTCTTCGTCCGGATAATCCCACCGACAACCATCAACTAGTATTAAAAGAACCTTCTGTCGGTTCACTACTGATGAGCAGTAAACAAACATAAATGCTACAAGAAGCAAAAAGGGGCGAAACATATCGATATTTTAAGATGTATTATTATGGTTAAGATGGTTTAAAAACTTCTATTGCGTCAACACACCAAACAGTATAATAACACTAGAACACAATTACTTTCGTTCTCGTTACTCTAGTATAAGCTGTTAGTAGTTAGCAATCTTTGGAAGCTGCTAGTAAGTACCTACACGATGACGTACCCCGAACGGAACAGAGAAAAGGAGAAATGTTGTGAGCAAATATATACGACATAATTTCTTGCTACTAATTGTTGTTTTAGATGTTTCGCGGCATATCGAGACCTTTTTTTGAAGCTTTCTTGTCTACACTGGCTCATCCGTAAGTTTCAGATCTTATAACCATTTAAATATGGTTTCCATACCTGTGGCGGTATATGCTACAAAATTACGTCATTAGTCAAGTTACATTATTTTTTAGAAATCATTTCATGTGCCCTATCTAACTGCTGTAACTTCCCTTTCTAAGTCTTATTATTATTGAACTTTCTTAAGGACTATTGCGTGTACTTTTCAGCTTTTGCTATAAAGAAGACTGAATTTTATTTTACTTCCTGTTGCTTGCCTCAGATGTTTTAAGTGAAAAAGGTTAAAATGAGAGTAGATGTTTTAAACGCTTCTCAAAAGTTGCATTGCCAAAGCTGTTTAATAAAGAAGATTGAACATTATTTTGCTTCCTGTTGCTTGCCCCAGATGTTTTTAAATGACAAAGGTTAAAGTGAGAGTAGATGTTTTAGATGCTTCTCTAAAGTTGTGTAGACAAAACTGTTTAAGTAAAGGGTTTTCATTGGTCACAGGACTTTTTAGGGAGGATAGTAAAAAGTTATTTTTATACACAGTTATACTGATGTTATATTTTCATCTTTACTTTCACACATAAGTTTTTACAACTACGAATTAGATTTCTCCCGTTGACAGCGTGGTTGCTTGACACGCTCGAACAAAAGGGAGGCTAGTTTGCTGATTCGCCTGTTCTTATGTTCGTTTTTTGTGATCCGTATAGCTAAATGAAGCAGCCTAAATGTGCCAACGAAAGTAGGGATTGAAAATCGTTTTACAATCAATCTAACTAATATCACTTTACTTGTTTGTACTTTTTATTGCAGCATTTTGATTTAGATACTTCATATAGCAATTCTATGAATAACCAACGATCCCTACTTTCCGTTAAATTTGTTTTTTTTTACCTATTTAATATCAATAACATTTACGGAAATTTTGAGCTCTGTACTTTGAATCATGTTGATGCAACGAGTTACGTGTGACTAAAGAGCACAATCCGACCCCCCCCCCCCTCCAGTGGCACAGCGGCATATCTGCGGACTTACAACGCTAGAATCCGGGTTTCGATACCCATGGTGGGCAGAGCACAATTAGCCCATTGTGTAGCTTTGTGCTTAATTGCAAACAAACACAAAGCCCAATCCGAACACTACCCAGAAAAAATATCCCTTTTTAGAAAATGTTCACTTTTTTCTAAATTTTGTCAATGAAGTATGAATACTACGATTAGTAATTACTAGCATAACAGCCGCTCGTCGGGCTGCGGTTCTACTAGTAAAGTTAATTCAAGTAAAAATAGTAATAATAATAAATAATTGATGTTAAAAATAAAGTAAATAAATTTGTGTTATTAAATCTGTCGCAATTTTGACTTGTAAGTGATATAAATTAAATGGATAATAATTACACGTCATCTAGCTCACACCATAACTAATATTGTTCATGTCGATGATAAAAATAGTCTAGGTCACTACTATGTCTATTGTCTCTCAGCCATCCTTATTAATCTTTGTATTGGGAGAATGGCCTCATTGGCACTGGATATGACAGTGATAGACCTATTGTTATAGATTTTTCTTGGTTTTCATTTATAAGTTTATAAAATTAATGCACTGATTATTCCCGTTTAATAAGCATACGTATTTGTTGATAAAAGTGAAGATATGTGGCTGCTTTGAATATATATAAATATAATAGTACTGTCTGTTGTATGTCCATGTAACTACTTCGCAGGGTGTGGATGGATCTTCACCAAAATTGGTATGGAGGCTCATTAGGTCCATGGGGGGTACATAAAAATTTTCAATTTTGCGGTTTTTACGGGCGTTTTTGCTTGTTTTACCACTACTTCGCCCCCTCTAAAAAGTATTTCGTGACTGAACAAGCAAGCTTGACACATAAGCAACTATACATATATATATATTGTTGCGTCAGTAGTCACATGACTACAGTGACGCAACGTTTCTAGAATTATCATGTACTTTGGCGAATGCTCTAGTATTTACTAGTAGGGTAGGCTGGTATATATATAAGAGGGGAAACGTGACGCGGAAGGAAATGTAATGTGTGTGTAGATAGTGAGTAATTGAACTGCAGTCGGAAGTATTATTGACGTTTGTTCGTTACAGTGTTGTTTTAGCGCGAGTATTGAGATTAAGTGTATC